CCTCTCGTGTTTAAGAAACATATATATCTAGTTTTTAAAAAATCCCAACAAAACTTCAACCAAAATCGAACAAAACGCTAAGCTTTCTTTTAAGAATCACCCATAATACATGTATATTATATTTGTTCACTCATTTATTTTAAACGGACATTGCCATGGATAGGGATAGTTTGATTGTTTTTTTTTTTCAAGACAGAGTCTACAGAAATAATCCACTAGCAATTGAACTTTTAAAACTCAGTGTTGTACAAGGGTATGTTCAATTTCTGGCGACGCAGCCAAGCTTGTCTGGAGAGAAGAATAAAATGGAGAGAAGAATAAAACGGAATAAATGGAATTAAAAGAAAAAAATGAAATGGTCAACACCTGGGGCATATAATATAAATAACCACCACTTTCTCTGGGTTTATCAAAATTTGTGAATGCCAATTCCAAATAAATTTGTTCTTTAGCGCACACATTTTAATACGCATTAAGGCTAATTTTTTAATTTTTATGAAGTTGTTAAGTTTTGCATTTAATACAAGCTTGGTTGAAAATGTTAAAACTATGTTGGTCGATGTTCTTAATATTGACAATAATATGGCATCACCTTGAATATATTATCATATCGCTTCTTCTAAGTTTTGTTGAAATTGATGCCCAGAATTATTGCCTTATAAAAGGATCCATTTTTTAGATACTCAGTACTTCTGCAATTAAGTGTCACCATAAAAGTGTGTATGAGAGACGTAATATTTTGAGTTGATCATTGGACACTATTGATTTCTTTTTTAAAACTGAAATATACAGACGTACTGATAAAGAGGAAATGATAATTAGAATAAATAGAAGAGAATCGCTTATCACTTGGAAGGTCTTAGATCAGAAGTAGTAAAATATGTTAATTAATTAATATCAATTAATTAATTAATTATAATTAATTAATTAATTAAAATTAATTAATTAATTAATCTATTTATTCACTGATCTATTTATTTAGTCGTTCACTTTAACCTTGATTAATAGTTCTTTTCCTTACTAATCAGCAGATCCATTTGTTCGCTTATTTGTACTTGATTTCAGTTTTGTTTTGGTGATATAAGAACTGACAAATTATTTGAAACAACGTCTTGAGAGGAGAGGGAAAGAAAGAATCTCAGATAAGGAATGAAAGAGGGGGAGAGAACGAAAGAAAGAAAAAAACGAGAGCGAAAGGGCAGAACAAAGGAGTGCGAAAAAGACAGATAAAGAACAAAAGAGAGAATGAAAGGAACGGAGAGAGAAAGACAGAGGGAAGGAAGGGGACAGAGACAGAGAGAGAGAGAGAGAAAGAGAGAGAGAGAGAGAGAGAGAGAGAGAGAGAGAGAGAGAGAGGGGGGAGAGGGAGAGGGAGAGAGAGAGAGAGAGAGAGAGAGAGAGAGAGAGAGAGAGAGAGAGAGAGACTCGATGACTTTTATCTATCTCGGAGTAAAAACCCGTTCAAAGTTCAATTCGAGTTCTCGTTTGAGACAAAAGTTCAAGCTGAATTTTCTGACTTGTGGTGGGATCTACTACTCGTGAATCGCCTTTTTTCACTTTAGTAGGTGTTAGAAAAGCCCAACTCTTAAGAGAAATAAGAGATTCAGAAATACTGCTACCCACTTTATTTATTTCTTAATGAGTATTGGGCCTTGCTGAAGGTTTGCCAAGAGTACGTCATTGACACCAATCCGGTAATTTTTATCTTATCTGATGTTTGATACACGTACAAATGAATATGTATTTAAGAGTAATTCGACTGCATACAAAACATTGGAAAAATATGTTATGATATCTGGCTGCTATATTATGTTATGCGCACAACGGTCACTTCAGTGTTCATTAAAAGAAGTATTGTCAAATTCTTTGTGAAAAACCACAGATCCAGGATTTACATTCATAAAGAAAATAAATGAATTGGAAGACAGAAGGAAAAAAAGTCAGAGCAGCACATTAACATAACTAGCTGGTCCCCCTATCAATAGTTTATTATAATCGGTTTTGTTCGGTTGGGCTATCGTTCATAATATTATGAAGAAAAATATTTAATGTGCCTAGCTCTGTAGATTCCTTGGCCTCCTCTCACTATGTTTTCATGTTTTCAGATAAACCCGACCAGATGCCGGTGAGAGTATCGGAAATACATTCTCTTTGCCGCCTAGCCATGATAAAGACCTATGCTCTGACCAATAAGACACCCAATCTGTTTATATCACCTGTTTATGTTTTGTTTAACAAAATAAAATAAGCCACGTCGGTTGTTGTTTTTTCAGAATGTGTTACCGTTCGTAACAAGCAAAATTTCCTTTTTTTTCATTGAGCCATAAATTTCAGGATGACCTGTTATAGTTATAATAGGAGACAGCACACATTAGAAAGGTTCTATAAAATATGTGCTTATTTTATTTGAAATGCCAACAAGATAATTTAAACGAAATACAATACAAAAATTCGGGCAATGTTATTTAATGGTTTGAAAATGATTTTCCGAGTAACCACTCTTCTTGTGTCTTTGGTGTTATAATTAAAGTATTAATCGTTCTTAAAAAAAAAGACACCCCCT